CATTTTCTTAATTTTGCAGCATATTGCGCAAAATTTTTTAGACTAAATTGGTCTTTTTGTATTGTAGTTACAACCTAGCTTGTTAATTTTAATGTTTCTGTTTATATAGCTGATATTTTCGTTCTTTAACATACAATGATATATGCTAGGATTTAATTTCTATAACGTCTTAGGTAATTTGTTTTATAATTTTCATTAAAAGTAAGAAATCAATTACTACTATTTTTATGAATTGTACAGGTGTTAAATCAAGTAATGCTTTTCTTTATATATTAATTATTATTCATTTTTAAGTTTCGTGAACTATTAGGAATATAATTTGTGCATTTGATCAAGATAAACTAACTGTTCTGTTGTTAATTTTTTTTTTTGCATAAACTTTCAAATTTGTGGACAGTATAGCGATAAAAGTAAGTAAAATATTTACACAACTGAACATGTGGAAAGATGTATCCAAAAATGTATACAGTTATATTTCTGTACTTCAAGGCAATTTCTTTGAGATTCATAAATATGAAACGCACATAAACTGAAATCACATAAATCTGTTTTAATTTATTAATATTTATTTCTTGTTATTATAAGGTTGTGAAAAGAATTTATTTAGAACTTTCATTAAAAAAAAAAAAGCAACCTGTGACTATTCTTTAGATAATTATCTGCTATTAATTTCAGGTTAAAATTATTTTAAATGATTCTTTAATAAATTATAATATTGTGAATAAATCAGAAATATCACTTCTTAAAGGAAAAATTAGAAAGTACTCCCAACCAAAAGGTTGCTAATAAAACCTAAACAAATTCTTGAAATAAGGAGAAACATCATTTTTAAAGACTTTTATGTTATGCACATGCATTTAGATTTCGAAATACTTCTTAATGATTTTCTGTATGTAGTAAATTAAAGATATCTTTATAACTTTAAAACAAAAAACTAACAATAGAGAAGCATTTCATTAAAAATTTAACATATTTTTACGGGAAAATACATGCACGGAACAGCTTAAAAACACGTACGTTTCACTGCTGTAATGCAATGTTTTGAAGTTACAAACATGGGCGCCGCTTGTTCGGTGTAGTTTCATTCCCTGATAGTGGAGGAAACTGCGAACCCTCCCTCCTTCTATTCTAACCTCCTTGTTCCACCGTTGCACAGATTGTATTTTATTCTCGAGTGTCAAGATGAAGGAACGCCTTTTTACTCGGCTTCTGGTATGCAATCAAGAAAGTTAATTTACGCAGTGCTCTAGGCTAAGGCTTTAACTCCACATCATCAAAGATAAAATAATTACATCAGAAGAGGTGTTCATCTAATACGGGAAAAATTTGAATGCCTAAAATAAAATAAAAGCTTTTCAGATAATGCCTTCCGCATGAGAAAACAAAGGGTAAAAACTCAAATTCTTTTGCCAGAAATCAGTTTTGATAGGGACAGTAATGATTCATAAATTTAGAATAGAAATAAAAAGTGCAAATGATTTCCTTGATTCTTGATATCAACAATAAATAAAAATATCCTTAGTCACAAGCAGACCGAAAAGTAGAGAGCTAGCGCGAGGTCAATAAACTTGGACTGGCACCCACTCAAGGTTGCTGCGCGAAAAAGGCGGGACGGACCCGTTAGTCGAGTCTTAGAAACAAGTCACAAGAATAAGCTGAGAGGAGGAGGGAGATTTTGGCCGCTAATCAATGCGACATTTAAAGGCCTGATAGGGGGAGGAGAACAACAACCCGTTTAGCCTGTGAAAAGAAGCATTTAAGATATCAATTAAAAGTTAAGTTCAGACGCGTGCGGCTGCAGAAGGTCGTCCCTTGTTAAAGAGATGCTAAAAGACTCTTTTTAAACAGTTGTAGTAAGGTGTTCCTCCAGTCAATGCCCTTATACATTGTTAACGCGGAGGCGGTTGGGATTCAGAAACGTGAGGTAAGCATCCACTTGGGCGTCCATACCTTCATACCGGGGCCTTTTACATGCTGATTTAATCAGAAGTTAATATTACTCTAGGTCGCTTTTTTGAAGAAGCGACCGCAGAATCGTATACCAGCAGGATGTGTAATACTAGATTACTAACAAGATGGATGTTTTTGAAGAATCATTCTGAAAGTCGCTGTATAAAGCGATTGATGGGCATAATGTTGAGATAATTATGAATGTCGTCGTTCCCTAAGAACTATGGAGCATTAAGAACCTACCGTAAAAATTTTGATTGCAAAATTTGAACGTTTTTGCGGTTAGTCTAGCTGAGCCCCAGATGAGACTAGAGTAAGTGAGAACTGGCCTGATTATCCACTTGTAAAGCAAGATCTTGTTATCAAGTGACAGGTTGCTATTTTTAGCAAAAAAAGGGCAGCAGGTTGGCTTTGGCAGCCATCGCATTCGTAACAATTTTTTCAATGTGAGGTTGCCAGGTTAATTTTGAATCTAGTATAACGCGAAGATATTTATACGTAGTAACCCAGGGAATAGGCTCTCACAAGAAAATTAGGTTATCTAAACGTGGGATATTTATTTGGAAGAATAAAATGGCAGCACCTTTAGTGACATTAATTTTAGTTTTATACAGTACGAGTCAGAGTTCTAAGGCTGAAAGGTAACTCTGTAATGTAGAGATTACCGTGGTGATGTCGAAATGTTGACTGAGGATGGCCGTATCGTCCGCATATAAGGCTAGATCGATACTAGGTGCCTTAGGCACGTCATTAATATAGATATTGAAGAGCAGAGGTGAGACAAGAGTACCCTGAGGACATCCAAAATAAATTGGGCGGAGAAAGAATTCATGGTTAAGTCACATGCGGAAACTCCGTCCGCCCAAGTAAGACTTAATAATTTTAATGATGTGAGCCGGAAATTAACTTGAACTCGCACCCACTCGAGGTGTACTCGTATGAGCTTGTAAATAAGTCCGACGTGCCAAACCCTATCAAAGGCTTTGGCTATGTCAAGATAGACAATTCCAATTTTCTCTCGCTTACGAAAGCCTTCGTGAATGAATTCCACTACACAGAGTAACTGGTGTACCGTGGAGTGTTTAGGTTGGAAACCAAATTATTCCGGGATGATCAAATTTTGATCTCGACAAAATTCATTCAGGCCATTAAGTAAGACAAATTAATATACTTTGGAGAGTAAAGAAAGCAGACTAATGGGTCTGTAATTGACGGGTAAATTTAAATTTTGCTCTGGTTTTGGAATGGGAACGACCACTGCAATTTTCCAAGGGTCCGGAAAGTAGCTTCTCCTGAGCATAAAATTAATAAGGACCGTAATCCAAACAACAAACATTACGGAGAAGTTCTTAATCATGCGATTAGAGACACAATCTATGCCTGGAGCCTTCTTTGCCTTTAGTCTTTCGATGTACTCCATCGCTTCTTTAGGATCAGTGGGCCTGATTTCAGACGTGATAGTTTGTGTTAGAAAGGTTACACAAGGCGTCGTTATTTGGAGTGAATTGTGTTGCAAGGCTGTCAGATAAAACTTCAGCCTTTTCAGTGTCTGTGTAAGCCATCTGTCCGTCATCAGCCGTTTGAAGGGGCAGAATGTGTCTAGGCTGTTTGCGTATTCAGGCGGCAGCACGAAAAACTGAATTATCTTCAGTCGTTAACGACTCAAAATAGTGTTTCCACTCCGTCTGTTTAAAAAGACGGGTTTCCGTCCTTATCTTGTTCTGTATTTTGCGAAGTTGGGCGCGGATACTGGGATCGTGTGACCTTTGCCAAAGTTTTCGCTGCTTAATTTTGGATTTAGTCTCAGGTGTGAGTCTGATACCTGGATGGTTTTGAAGCTGCAGCTCTCGCTTCTTTGAGTATGGACTCCAGATTTTGTAAAATACTTGTCAAAGTCCGAATTGCTGGAAATTTTGATTGCGGGGTAGCAGTACGTTCCAAGATAAATCTAAAATCGTCCCAATTTGTAGAGACTTGCTTTGGAATTTTGAGTAACGATTTTGAACATCTAAGGTTGCTTCGTTTTTTGTGCTAATACTTTCTCTTCAATTCTGTAAACAGACATAATTTCTTGTTCAGTTACAAAGTTTCACTGTTCTCAAGTCCTGTAATTGCTGTGTCGAGAATACAGACTGACTTGTCAATCGAAATTTTTTTTCATTTTCAATAACCTCTCTCTCACTATCGGAACGCTTTACACACCTGTAAACGATTTACTGGCTTTGCGCGCATCAAACGCGCATGCGTAAGTTTGTAGCTTTGAGGTCCGGATTATAGATCATTCTGGATAATGGTCATCCGGATTACGGACTTTGTACTGTATTAAAAATCTGAACACTTTTTACTAGATTTTCTACATAATTTTTCAAACTTGTACTGACATCTTTACTCAAGCAAGATTCATCTTTAATTGTGTTCTGACTTCTAATTTTCTTCAGTTCTCACTCTTTTTCTAGCTGTGTTAATTGTAATTTCTCAAATTTAATTTTTTACACTTCTAAGGCTAATTGTGTATCCCTCAGATTTATTTTGATGTGTCCTATATTTAACGAAGAAGTGCTATTAAATCCTCTCTCTAGCGCACATATATCCAATAAATTTTTAATGTTAGCAAAATCAAATCAAAAAGCTCCTACCTGCTTTTCCTGAAGTTTCTGTGCCTCCCTCGTCAGGCAGTCACCTCTGGTTCGAAAATGTAGAGTATATACCATACCTCAGTCTTCTACTCTCATCACCAAAGAAATTACCAACACTTCTTCATATTTTTAAATATTTATTCCATTTACTTTAGACAGAAATACGCCCTAAATCACTAAAACGATACTACTAATACCTGAAGCATGTACATTAACTATCTCATTGCAGGGTAATTTCGTTTTAAATATTATCTCCCATGAGCCTTCCTCCCTTTTGACCTCTCTCTCTCAGAAACTGTCAGTCTGAGAGGCTTTTGAGGTGGCTCTCAGACTGACAGCAAACATTCCTTATGCATTTCATTAGTTGGTGTCACCATTACATCACAATGTATTAAAATCGAAGTATTTGAGGTATTTAAAGCATGACAGCAATAATTTTATTCAAGCACACATAAAAAATAATTATATTTACAAAATATAAGTTATGAGAACAATGATTTTACATATAAATATGGGAAACTAGATGGATATATCTAAGTGATCTGTATTCTCAATATTAAAAAAAATAATAAAATCTACACTTTACATATTTTATAAAATTGTCCTTTTTTTCTCTACACATGTACCTAATTTATACTTTAGCCTCAGGACAAACTTAAGCTCATGAGCAGGGTTAACAGCATAGTAGACATTTGCTGACTCTGGAAAGGTGATTTCTGGAAATAAAAATACTTTTTAGTATTTCAATTAATATTTTACAAAGCAGTTACTACATACTTAATACTTTAAATTCTTGTGAAATACTTTTTATCTTCATTGTTCTAAATTGTATAACCTTTTCCGTTTTTAATATATTTTTCCCTTTCAGAAATTTTTTAATACATAAATAAAGTTCTCTTTTAAATATTCAGCTTAAATAGCAATTTAAGGTAACATGGTAGACATTAATAACTGCTTATTCAAAGCGTATCAGATTCATTGACAGCTGAAACAACTCTAAGCTAGCTGCAACATTTCCTAAAAGGATGCTTAAACAGGATCAGTTAAGGGGACTGTATGTTAAATGCAAAATTTCACATGCACATAAAAAGTATTTTTTTCTAATAATGTGGTGTTGCATGTACCTTACCTGATCAGAGGGCAGATATCTGGAACTGTCTAGTATCAATATGAACTAATGAACTTTTACTTGGTATCTCAGGTAATTTACTGACTAAATACTGTAATTCATGAAAGAAAGTAAAGTTCTTGGAAATGTTGCAGCCATCTTGAAATAGTCCAAATATATTGTGCATTCTGATAGCCCTTACACAGAAACTTATCGCTAATATTATTAAAACTTTAAACTGCAGGTAAATCACAGAAAAATTACATGAAATATCCTAAAAATTCTTAAATATACTCAGTAAGATTGACATTTTATCTAAAAAAAATCACAAAGAAAAATATGGTGAAAAAAATAAGATGTGTTTTTCAAAAATTATTTACAAAAATTAAAGCATAAAGAAGAGTTATGTATAGTAAGTCTCAGAAGTGAAATATGTTATCTATAAATATTAATTTCAATATATTGCAAAAAGCATCATGAGACAGAAATAGCTATGATATTCTATACATAAAGGCTGTATGCTAACTGCAAAATTTCACATGCAGATAAAAAATATTTTTCCTAATGTGGTGTAGCACGTAGCTAATCTGATCAGAAGGCAGATGTCTGGAACTGTCTTTCATCAACATGATATAATGAACTTTTACTTGATAGAACTAATGAACTTTACCCTCAATGTAGAGGGGCAAAAATATCACAGGCAATAACTTTTTCATTGTCAAAAAACTGCTTCATGCTCAAAGCATTTTTTTGGCCTATAATATAAGTAACCACAATCCTTTTGTGTGAGTTCCGTTTGTCTTAAAATCAGTTTTAGGTCTGTGACTTGAAAAATCATGATAAAGTTTAAAAAGCGATTTTTGTTTTTAAAATTTTAAAAGGTCATGCCTCATATGCAGCATAATTTATGCTTCATACAATCATTTATTTTCTAATATTCTACGTAAATAAATTCCACCAGGAATGTCTTATGATCTCTGCTATCCTCAAGATTTCACTTCCCTGTGCAAATACATGCATTGGACTAGATAGAACTGGACTGAATACTTGTAACACTGGATGGAGGAAAAAAAAGGAAGAGACACAAAGAACATACAATTAATAAAGATGGACATACATACCACCACCTGGAATTAACTGCACAAGTGAATAATCATCAGGATCACCATCAATTCCATGCTTAATCATAGCATTTGTTATCACAGTACGGGTGCGGTCACTGTTATTAAGCTTTAAAGAAACATTAAATAATTTAATTCTTGTTGCAATTTTTATAAGCAAGAAATCCAAACAGTAATAGATAATTACCAAGGAGAAAGGAATAATTTAATTACAACATGATTAAGAAATCAATGAAATGGCACATAAAATAGGAAAATATCTTAGACTATATCTTTAGGAAAATATCTTAGAATTATGCACATATTTAATTAATTACATTCTTAGAACACATGAAGGAAAGAAGTACTCTTTACTATATTGAAAAACTTGGAAAAGCAATAAATGTTGAAAATGAGATCACTGACTAAACCAACCACATTTCCAAAAAAAAACCAAGGCCACCTCTTACATATAGTGAATCATTAGCCAATAACTAGATAAGCCTCAACTATATACTGAATCCAGGACATCTATTCTTATGTGCAATCCAGATATTTATCTAGCTCCAGATTAATTAATACAATAGAATTCCAGAAATCCGCAAAGCTTGAAACCAGAGGTTGTGGGGATTTTAGGATTTTTCAGATTTCATGACAGAAAAGATAAAGCATAATATTCGGACTAAACGTTCAAAATGAATAAGGCATATTAGATACATTTAATTAAATTATTATATACATTATTGCAATAACTAATTATATGCATTAAATTATTATAACATATATAAATTGATTATATTATTCGTTTCATTAGGTCCACTATTTTTAAATCAGCATACATCGCTTCCGATTTTCTCTCAGGTTTGTCCGATCGGGCTGCTGCCGAACCCTTGTACAGATGGCATCGAGGTTTGCCCACCTTATGTAAAGATTTCTGGTTTCAGATTCCGGTGTTAGAATCAGTGTTGCTGTAAAATTTCAACAGCTTTTCTTTATTTTTCCATATATACACAAACGTGTCACAATTCCATACCATTCTGCTATAAATCGAAGAGTAGCACTTGCTTCCATCGTTTGCAGAATTTGTACTTTTTGCGTTACCGACAATGCAACGCGTTTATGTTTTTCAACGTAGTAAGCAGTAAAATCACGAGTGCGTTTCTTATCTGTCATTGTATTAAAAAGGACTCAAATTTAAAATATTCTTAATTTATCCACAAAATATCCTTATTAAAAAAAGGCAGCACTAAACAATCTCGTGAAATGAAATAACAAAGCTCAGAAAATACAACGTGAATCGTGAACTTGAACAAAGAGTTGAGTGAATCGTCTGCTTTTTTACCTCGATGCAGATTAGAGGGAAAAAACTTATTTATTTTATCTTACTTTTTTTAACTTTTTTTATATCAATAATTTGATATTTCCGTTTTGACTCATTATTATTCGGTAATTATAACATCATTATTCGGTAAGTATTTTTTTCTTCAATATTTCGTACTCAATGTTGCGGTTTCCGGAACCTATAAACTGAACGTTATTTTGCTTATTAAACTAAATTTCCACATGCAGAAATAACAGAAGCTTAATGAATAACAGCTTTCTAAATCAGTGACTGAAGCAAAAAGTATAAAAATGGCACTTAAGAGTATGATTGATTTTATCTATTTGATTATGGAAAAGCACTTGAAGAGTGGTTCATACACATGTTACACATGAGGAAAACCACAAAATGCTCATTCAGCCAGCCCGTTTGCCAGAATTCAAACCCTGAACTGAACTATTAGTGTTCAGTGACTATGACTCAACCACTGGTCAGCCATCTCAATAGTATGAATTTACGTTAAAGTCTAAACAAAACAAACAGTGTTTGAAAAAATTAACTACTGAAATTTCTTGAATATAAAACAAAGAGCAGCTGAAGGAAAACTAAAAATAAACAATTTTTTCAGGAACATCAGCATGGAAAATCTTGACTATCTGCAAAGATTTGGAAAAAATGAAAACTAAATCCTGCTGCATATAATTAGCCAAAGACAGTTTTCAAGTATACCAACCTACTTAAAAGGTATGAAAACATATATTTCAGTACCTATGCAACAACAGTGACAATAAATACATGAGAAGCAGCAAGCTCTTGATAAAATAAACCTAGATTAGCTATTGATTAAGGATGTAAAGCTGCAGAATCTACAGCTGCAAATAGAAAGATTGAGTTTAGGAGAAGACACAACTCTAATGAAGAACTGAAAATCAACGGTGCACATCAATTTTCCAAAACTGAAATTTTAGGTGACATACAAGAAAGTGAAATTTTGTGATTTAAATAGCTGTCTAGATATGCTTGATTCATTACTAGAAAATGGGGGCAAATAACTGAAAGCATAATTTTAAATAAGTCCCTTTAATAAAGTTACAAGAAATTAGACTTTGTTAAACTAAAAATGGCAATTATAAAATTGACAATGCATTTGAATACATCTTCATACATAATATTTACATATTTATTACAATATTAAAATTTCTATTAATATATGATTTTACTGCAATATAATTCAACAGCTTTTTCATGTATACTTAAGATGCAAATCACATTCAAAATCCTATATGCAATGAAATAAGTCAACAGATAATGCAAAATACATAATATCTCCACATACTATGTTTCCTGTTTAATTCATTTTCAGATTTTCTTTTCATTTATGCACAACTGTATTTTAAAGCAATAATTTAGATGGTTTAATATAATACAGCCAAATTTTGTTGACATTCTTATCTCAACTTTTTTTAAAATTTGAAATAATCAATAAGCAGAACTTTTTCAAATAATGTTTTTTCAAGGCCAAAATCAGACACCATTCCCAAAGAATAATAGGCTCCAAACGTTTTGTTGTTTCTTGTATGCTGTCCATATCCAAGTAAAACTGCTGCTTAACATTTTCCATTTTAACCTATTTCTTGAAACATTTAATACAGTTTCTTTTAAAGAGGTTCAAGAGTGAAATCAAAACTATTAGAATTTCTATAGATTTGTGAATAAAATAAATGATTACTTAAAAGGGTGTCACAAATTAGTGACAATTTTGTATACTTAAAAAATTAAACAAGAACACATTAATCAGACCTTTTAGTAAGATTATAAAACCTAAAGTATTACAGATAATTTAGAATTACTTAAAGTTAATGTTCTGAAAAGCCAGGAATACTGCAAAAAGATTTTAAGTTCCAAATCCAAAGATAGCCAGATTAAGCAGAAATATAAAAAAATGAAATTAGAGCTGAAGCATCTAATGATCTCTCTAGAATTTCTGGAGCTGATAAATACAGCTCATCCTAATGGTAAAATGTTGAAATTAATAACAGAACCATTTGATAGCAATTATGAAAAGGGCAGGTAAGAAAGATTACTCTACAAATAATATGAGGGTGAAGCACTTGACAATAAACAGTAATCTAAAGTCAACAAATCTAACTACTTAAAACCATCTAAAAGCGTTTTGTATTAAAATGTGTACAAAGATTATGAACATCATAATTATTTAACAAGTAAACTATTAAAAGAGCAATTTGGGAAAATATGAAATTATTAAACACTCCTGACAACAAACTGTGACGATTAATTCCTATGAAATCAAGTTCAAATTTAAAGGAAATGAGAAAATTTCATGATACAATTTACTACTCAAATTCTAAGTCTTGAAACTACTGGCATAGAGCTAAATAGATATAGTAGAGTTCCTTTTGTCAATAACAGATTCCTGAAGATATAGTATTGGGATAAAAATCACTCAAATGAAGAAGAATCTGAAACTGTTCAAAATTATTATGCTCTTAAAAAGGAAACTGAAGCATGGGGGAGGGGCATTTCTGTTTCCCAGGACAGATAAAGCTGAAAAAAACCTCAATATAGAAAATATGACAGTTCTATACATCTTCCAATGCCAGCTAAATATGGCAACTAAATATAGATACATATTTTGTCCTACACATAAACATGAGACCACAAAACATCTTTTGCCTGAAAAATTATTCAAAACCCATTAACAATGAATATCTTTAAAAATATTCAGACCCTACATCATCAGTTTGTATACATAGCTTAAAAAACAAACTGGTCATGATTATTGACAACTGGTCATGATTATTTACAGCAACATTTACATCAGAATGGAGTCAAGGATTCAGCTTGTTGCCCTCTGCGTCATCAGGGTCATACAGATGGTGACCACCTCAAGAACTGCCCTATTATCTTAAAGTTTATTACAGACAACTCTACAGATGCTAATTTTTTTATCCTTGCTTTTTTACACTCTCATTATTTTACTGGGCTGCTCATCGACTAATGGCCGAAATAACTAATGGCGAAAATTACAAAAATCACTGCTAAACTGCCAAAATTTTGTAGCAAACTGGACCCTAAAGAGTTCATGAAAAATATTGGGGCACAGAATGGTGGGCTCAATAAAACTGAGTGGAATATTCATATTAAGCATGACCCATCGAGTCCACTGTGTGCCTGAAATGGATGCAGCTGTTCTTGATAGAAGAGGATATAAATTTTATATCAAACTTCAGCAAGTACAAGCTAAAGTTTTTGACAAATCCACCACGTTTGATGTGGGTGAAGGCTCTTCGAGTCAACATCCATCACAGTAGAAGTGGTACCACTAACCTCAGCAGGAAATTTCTTGCTGAGAACATACACCTGCCCCCGATACAAGAACCCTGGCTTGTCAGGGGTTGAATCAGCCACCTTAAAGGAAAAAGGGTAAGCTAATCTATGATTTTAATATATATATATATATATATACTGAGATCAGGTGGATCAGTATTAAGAAGAAATAGAAAAGACATTCGAGAAAACAGTTCAGCTGTTGAAGAGAATATCAGAGGAACAAGACAAGGAGTTAAAACAGACAAAAAAGGATATGATTCCACATACTCTCAAGGGGAAAGTTTAGAAGAACAACTATCAAATTCTGCTAACTCAGAAACAAGGGATGATGAGCAAATAGAAGTGGAAGAGTGATTAGAAAGCTGACCAGGTATTTGGACTGATTTTAGACTGTAAAAGAAAAAAATGACTTTTGAACTCTAAAAAAATGGAAGATGTAATATTTAATAATTTGTAAATGGCAACATTTAATATTTAGCAACTTGTATAATTGGCAACACTTTCGATAGATATATGAAAATAAAACTATGCTGGTATTGCAGTTCTCTGTAATATAATACATTATATGATTATAAACAAATAAATACATAAATGGTTTCTAAAAACTAAAAGTGAACCTTCATTATTTTATAATTACCTCTGAGTTAAAGTATTCAGGATTATACCTTGACCAAAAGCTCACCTGGAATACACATGTAGATTATAAAATTAATCAAGCAAAAAAAAAAAAAAAATGCATTTGACATGCACATGTATCCTTGGTTAAAAACTGGTGTTTATAGCCAAAAATGTTTGGATGTATACTGCAACTATCAGACCTATTATTATTTATGCCTCTGTGATCTGGTGGTGCAATGTAGAGCAGAGAACTGTGAAAGACAGGCAAGGAAGTCTGCAAAGATTGGCCTGCCTGTGTATCACTGGCACAATGCCCTCAGCACCTACCAGATATCATATTAGATACGACTCCCTTGGACATCTTCATTTGCACTGTTGCTAGCGACAGCATATAAAATGATGTAAAATCAATGGTATGACAAGCCTACTACTACTAGGTCATATCACTATTACTAAGAAAATTCATGATCCCACTCTCCTTATGCCTTCAGACATCATGGAAATAATTTACGTGTTTGACAGGCCATCTGAGGAAGTTTTTCCTACTAGGGGCAAATGGAATGACAACATGCTCAATTTCACAGATGGATCAAAGAAAGACAAACTTTCAGAACTGAGAGTACATACATGGTGTATCACCCAGAATTAATCTCTTAAACGGTCTTGTGGGGGTATGCCACTGTCTTCCAGGCAAATTTATATATAAATATAGAATGGCGGCTGTTTCTTGCTATTTATAACTAACTGTCTACAAATAAATATTGTTGTGTTTTTCTCTTCCTGACACCAGTTGTTACGTTATTTTCTTCCTTGACGTTCATACGGGGTTCGTAGATTTGGAGTGAATAATGACGACATTTGATGAAGTATCGAAAACACACTTTATTTAGCCAATATTAATCAGGACAGCTCCAATAACACCTTTTACAGTTGTCGAAAATCTACTATAAACACGCTAGAACAATCAGCGATACAGCCTTCACACTGTCAGGCAATAACGGTGGAGATAGCTTCACTGCAGAGTCGGGTGCTTTGGTGCACTCGGCACTCGCTGCCCAGCTGTCAACTCGATCGACTCCGCAGGGATTGACTCGCTAGACGAAACACCAACTCGATACTAACTCGCACTCGAGACAAGGCACACACTAACTGGCTGCGGACCAGCAGAGTTTATACAGCTTTTGGCTTGTGTTCAAGAAAATTCTTGGCTAAACCGGTAAGAATTCATTTCAGAAGGTTCTCCATCCGTCCAAGGTATGTCGCCAAATGGGCGATTTCTCACCAAATGTCGCAACACTGCCTTTCCTTGCCACTTTATGGCAAACCTAAAATGGCTTTGCGGGGAAGTCATCCCACCGTGCCTGTACATTTTGTAACAATATAAAAAAAGGCTACCATGGTAAGTGGATCCCCATTTTTAGTAACACTCAAGATGCCCTAAAGGGTTTACACTCTCTTCATATTAAATCAAAGATAGTTTTGGAATGCAGAGACTTAAGAGAACTGACAATCAGAAACAAGGTAATTCTAATCTGGGTACCAGGTTTTTAAGTGAATTGAAGGTAATGCAAATGTAGATTAACTTGCAAAACAATGACTGTTTTTTAATCCAATCTCCTATTGTGGTATTAATATGAAGCATGCAAAGAGTGTCCTCCTTGAATGGGAAAAACAGGAGATGAATAAAGTTTGGCTTGATTCTTCCTTGTCAAGAAGAATAATCTTAATTATGCCTTCACTTCCCAAAGGCATAATTAAGATTATTCAAAGCGTCAAGGAAGAGAACTACCTCCAGGACAATGAAGACTAAATGTAACAGGCTCACATGCCTGGCAAAGATGGTGGGAAACTAACCCACCATATATATATATTAAGTATATAGCAACTTAACATCTGTATTATGTAACTAACATCTTTCTATGTATTTGTATTTAAGTTTATTTGTTAATTAAAGGACATATGTCCCAATTAGAGTAAAAAAATATAGAATGGCGGCTGAACTGCCAGATTACTAGTGCAATGATCAGGATGATATCCTAACCCTGTAATGCCATTAACTTAGTTTGGTGAGACAAGTAGAATAGACCACTTCCCTCACTCACTTGGCTTCTTTAGGTATACTCAACACTAAACAGTTACAAAAAAGTTCTATTAAGGGATTGTCAGACTTTTAAACAAAGCGGGCGACCCAAACAAATGAAGGTAGGAAGCATTGGGTTTCGTAGATTTGGCACAAAAGGCTATTTAACAGATGTGCCTGATACCTGACAAACTCAACCTAAAGAAGAATATTTTACACACTTAGATATTTCACCTTTTCTGATAATTTTCTATAGCACTTTAAGAAACTAGCCCTCAATATTATATGCATAAATTAAAAAATTTCTAGTCTATTGAACTTTTTGTGTTATTATTGGATTATGATTTTATATAAATTTTATGAGAATATTAATAATGTGTTTTTACCATTTGGAAACTTCTTTTGTCATATCACTTGCAATAAAATTATAAACTAAAGAATGTTATACTCCAGTAACTCACAATAGAATATCTCTAAATGGTATTTAAGAGAAAAGTCTATTTTGAATAGTTCTACTTTGTTTAATAACTGACCCCCTCAAGATATGTGAAAAATGATGTAAATTTGTAATTTTTACAATTGGGAAGTGTATGTCTCCAAACAATGGTTGCGAAAATAAAGGCCAGGTAAGGAAATTTTGGGGACATGGTGAACACGGTTATGGCTTGCTCTCTCTCTCTCAAAAAAAGTGTAAAACAGCAGATAATGTTCAAAGAAACTAAGGGAATAATTTTCTTTTAGAGGTTCAAAATTTCTGCATGGGAAAAGACCTTCATAAATTTCAGCACGTGTATTTTGTCTGTAATATTTTTTAAGGAGTAACAGATAAAAATTAAGTTGTTAATGAATGGCAGCATCAAACTGAATAAACTGAAATATTTATTTTCTGTTATACCACAATGCACACACACACACACATATATATAAATTCTTTAACTTGCATCAGATATACAATGAGTCTAAAAAAAAATTCTTCACTAGTTTTCAAAAATAAATGCACGTTACTTTTTAAAACTTACCATAATACTTTTATACATATTGACACCTTCTATGTCACAGTTTTGTTGCTCTAAAGATACCTTAATGATATAAGAATCTTGAAGTGAAGCACTGAACCCATTGGAGACAGGTGATGAACTTAAATTTGAAATAGCTAAACTTGAGCATGATTTGGAAACCTTAATATAAATACATAAATTCATATATACACACACACGCACACACATATATATATATATAACAAAAAGTTGAGAAATTCTAAATTAACATGATATATATTATTAAAGGTCATGCAGTATGCTTCAAAATTAATCAATCAAGAGATAATTAAATCATGAAAGGTGGGCTAATATCTAACATAGCATTTCGTAATCTTTTTTAGAGGTCAGAAACCCCTTGAATCTGAAAATAAGCTCTTGCACCTCCTTAAACAATGTGTGTATGATTTTTATTTAAGAAAAAATATTAACTGAAAAAATAAATGCCATGATTATTTACAATACATAATACAGTCAAAAGTCGTTAATCCGGACTCGTCGGGACTTCGGCGATTCCGGATTATCGATTTTTCCGGATTATAGATCATCAGTTTAAATCTGGTAAGATGGCATGCAGAAATTACAAAATTAAAAATATGAAACCGTAATTTATGAAATAAAGAACAATTATGATCTAAAGGGTATCAAAATTTACAAAAAGAAAAAGCTTAATATTTATTTGTTTACTTTATTAAACATTTCCTTCAATGTAAGTTGCTTCGTTTCATGTGATAATACTTTCTCTTTAATTCTATTAAACAGACATAATTTCTTGTTTAGTTACAAAGTTCCGCTGTTCAAGTCCTATAATTGCTGTGTTGAGAATACTGACTAATTTGTCAATCGAAATGTTTTCGTTTTCAATAACCTCTGGGTCACTTTCTTCACTATCGGAAGCGAATTATAATGACGAGGAACTTGATTTAAATCATATCAAAGACGGAGTATATCGAGATGAAATACTACTATACTAATAGTACGGAATTATAAACCAAATAAAATAAAAACATCTGCTCTGAAGATAAGGATAGTGCTGACAGATCAACTTCCAATCCCCAGCGTGAAATTGATAAACAGATTTCGGATTTCAAAACATACTTTCGCTTTGTAGATACAAATTACATATTAGTAAATATATATCGGAAATTCTATTTGACATAATCTTTCTAATCTATCATAATCTAATAATGACGTTTCTGCCCCCCCCCTCTGCCGCAGAGCAGTGTGAAATTGATAAACAGATTTCGGATTTCAAAACATACTTTCGCTTTGTAGTAAATATATATCGGAAATTCTATTTGACATAATCGAAAGTTCAAGCTTACTTTTATAAAATTGCTCTAACAGTCTGCAAAAAAAAATAATAGCCGGATACGATTCGAAGATTAAGGAACAACGCAATCTGCAACATTAACTGAATTAGATAACTTTAGCTTAGCGTATAACTCCGTTACACATTAAACGCGCATGCGCACAAACATATTCGCAGTGCAAGGGTCTTATGCGCTCCCGTAAACGCCTGTGCGCATGCGTGAACGCGACGCATGCGCAGAAAGTTTGTAGCTTTGAGGTCCGGATTATGGGTGTCCGAATTAACGACTTTTGACTGTACTATATAATATAAAACCAATTTTAAATTTTAATGCTATTGTTGTTATTTGTAAATTCTTAACGCCTCTTTTTTAAGGCCGTTCACTAAATCATCAGAATGCTGTAAGGGTTTTCGCTTTGTTTGATATAAAAGTGCTGAATTTCCAAAGGTATTTAGTGCAGGTAGAGGTTCTAGTGTTGCTTTTGCCAGTTGTGGTTGAGCTTCTAACTAATTACAACAGAACTATTCTAAATCTAGTTTTTCAAATTCCATTTCCATATGCACATTAGCCTATATTTCAATTATCTTTTAAAAAATCATTGTCCATTGAATTTGGATCAAACATAAATGGGACTGAGTATCCATCTATTAATTTTGCTAATACAGTTAAAAGTCTTTAATCCGGACTCGTCGGGACTTCGGCAATTCCGGATTATCGGTTTTTCCGATTGATCATAAATTTAAATCTGGTAAGATGGCATGCAAAAATTATAAAATTAAAAATATGAAACTGTAATTTATGAAATAAAAAGCATTTATGAACTAAAAAGTATCAAAATTTTTTATTTGTTTACTTTATTAAACATTTATTTCAATGCGCGCATGCATAAAGCATACATTACCATATCAAATACGGAGTACATCGAGATGAAATACTACATTTAGTAAGGAATTATAAGCCGAATAAAATAAAAACATCTGCCCTGAAGATAAGGATAGTGCTGACAGATCAACTTTCCAGTTCTTTGCTCTCCTGCGACGTTCCCCCCCCCCCGCAGAGCAGCGTGAAATTTGATAAACAGATTTCAGAATGGTTAGAGAAACAAAAGGATATGCCTTTATCAATTTTTTAAAGCAATTCCACTTTTTGTTTGATCGGACATCGAAACATGCTTTCACTTTGTAGATCCTTTGGTAACTCCATCATCGGATTAGTAAATATATATCAGTGAAATTCTTTTTGAAATAATCGAAAGTTCAAGCTTACATTTATAAAATTGCTCTAACAGTCTGCAAAAAATAATAAGCCAGATTCAATTTGAAGATTAAGGAACAGCGCAATCTGCATTAACTGAATTAGATAAATAGATAATTTTAGCTTAGCTTATACCATCCGTTATACATTAAACGTGCATGCCTAAACCTATTATGAGCATGCGTAAGTGCATTATGCGTTTACGCATGCGCAGGAAGTTTGTAGCTTTGAGGTTCAGATTAAAGACTTTTGACTGTATTTCCTGTGTAAAAAGTATTCATCAACTGATTCACTCAAATGCTGGAGTTGTATTATAATTTTTGGTATTCCCCCCCACCCCCGTTTCCCAAAATGACTGAAACCAACAAAAAAAAAGTTTGCTAAATTCCTATGTTCAACTCGACATTTCCAAAGTTTTAACTTTTCAATAAAAAAAGCTAATTTTTCAATAGCTGTTACTATGTTTTTGCTAAATTTTTGCATTAACGTGCTTACATTTTTCACGTGTTAAATATATCCGCTAGGTAGGCTAGCCAAAGTAATGCATCTCTATTTCCAAGAGCTTTCACTAAACCATTAAATGGGTTAATAGGATGCTTTACACTTTCTTCGTGCAATTCAAAAACCCTGGTTATTATGTGGACCTTGGAGAGCAATCATATTTCCATATGATAAAGGAGAACAGTATAAACAGCACCAATTTCTTTGCACAAAGCATGAAAACTACAATGATTAAGCACATGTCCTCGGATGTACTTAACTATATTCATTGCTGTAGTTAGGTATTGTTTCAAATTCTCGGATAAAATTTTTGATGCAAGTGCATGACAACGTAATATGCAGCGCATTACTGTAACTTGATATATTTTCTTCTTTACATCTGAAATTAATCGAGAATTTTTACCCAGCATTGCAGGTGCACCATCAGTGCAATTAAAAATATCAATGCCCTTTGTTGTCAAATCAAGCAGTTCACAAAATAGAAAATCTTCTAGTATTTCCTTTTCTTTCAGGTATCGCTAAAATACTAAAAACTGACTGCAATTAACAATATAAGTTGATTCGTCCAGTTGGATGCTTATTTTTAAATGTGCTAGCTTTGATATTTTCTGCTATCTGGAGTAAAATATCAGCACCGAGATCTTTAATGCAAGATCTAATCACATCATTCAATAGCGGAATTTATTAAATTTTATATTGTGTTTCAGAGCCAAAAAGAATTTTTCTGATTTCAAGTGCACATGTTTACTCTTCAGCTACTGTATGACTTTTTTTTCTTTTTCCTTAGCACACAGATACACTACTTTGTAAGGATTATGTTAATTTTATTAACAGTTAAATTTTAAGTTCCTTTCCTGCCAAATTCTTAACTTCAACTTACTAGTTCCAGCCAGAATGTAGTTTTGGAATCTTGCTGAATATTTAATGAGGAGGAGCGGTATTTAAACCATGAAGTTACTTACTGAGTCAGAGATAATCAGAGTTTCTGATTTACGCGCGTTTGCCTTTTTTGGCCACTCTCTCTCTCTCAAAGCTGTTATTACGCTTGGCCCTTGCTAAGCTTCATAGTCAAATAAGTTAAGGGGCCAACTCGATTTGAATATTGATAGCTTTGGCTATATTTCTTTAGTTAATCTTAGTTTTAGTTTAATTCTTAGTCTTTTAAGTTTAAGCCCAAGTGAGGGCTTTGTTTGTACACTCCCAGACGGAGTTTTGTTAAATCTTATTGGAATAACAAAAGGGTTAGTTACCCTTCTATCTTGTTGTTTCTTGTCGCCCGAACTTAAGCGATTATTCGCTTATCAGTCCTCAAGATTCTTCACTTCCAACATTAACTTAGAATTACCGCTTATCAGTTCTCAATATTCTTCACTTCCAACATTAACTTAGAATTACAAAGTCAGGAACTCTACAACTTGATAAGAAACTTTTAGCAAAGGCTTTTCAACTGCTGCAAAGTTAGATTTTGTAATAGTGCCGCTGGCATCAAATTGTGATTTCTTAGTTTTTAAGATGTTAAGACTATATCCTGCAGATTCACTACCATGCTGATTATTGAAATGTTCTCACAACTTTGAGGGTTTACGATTGGAGTTGGAAAATATTCTGCAACTCCATTGTGGTCATTGCATAACATCTTTTTCTGTTGTACAAGTGAATGCACAACATAATCGCCTTTCTATTGATGCTTTTTCAACATGATGAAGGTTACAACAATTTAAAAAAAAAAAAAAAATGATATAAATTTTTATTGATGGGTCAGTTTCTTTAATTTCAATAAATACTACACAACATTAAATAATTAAAATAAATATTGCTAAAAACCTCATTTTTCTTATTCAAGGTGTGTGAATATATCTCAACTAGTTTCTATACTGACATGACATGTGATTGCACTAACTGCATGTACTGATGACTGATTACAAGTGCAATGTGTTGAGCAATGAGGCTACAATAAATGGAGTAACCTCCTCCGCATGGCCCATGTACTGAAAATAAAGCTATGGAATGCCACAGTATGATACCATGACTTTTCAGTAGAGCTGCTATAGGTTGGTCTTGCTTACACTCTAATCAGTGCTGTTTGTAACATGTATAGTTGCTTTGTTCATTATTATTATTATTTTATTTTTTATTTTTGAAATTTCTCTGAAAGTAAATCTACCTTTTGGCCTATTTTTGATTAGAGAGATCCAATAATTCTACTCTACAGTGTTCCATAATCAGAATCACAGAGCAGATTCTTATAAATTGCTTTCTTAGCCCATTCATGCAGCAATAATTTTGTATATTTTGTGGGCAAAATGCACTAAAATGATGCAGCTTAGAAATACCCCCAACACCAAAAATACTTAAAAGCTGACTAGATATGTGACTAGTTACAGTGTTGCAAAGAAAAATATAACATAGTAATAGCCATTACATATTAATTTAGAAATAAAAATCTTCTAAACAAATAAAACAGTATGCATATTAATGTGTCTTTTTTTTTTATTAAGAGTTTGCACTTAATTGCTTATTTTAATGTAATATTTTTTAATCATTTCAGATTATGTAAAAGCCTCCAAATAATACTCACATACTCGAGTAGTTTCAAACTTGTATAAAATTTCTGTACAATGTTTCTTATGTTGGGTAGGCGAGACACGACATGGGAGGTGTATGAATTCCTGTTGAAGGAGATGCGACATATTTTTTTTAGATCTGGTTTCCTTATGCATGATATTTATTATATCTTAGGGTTAGTAAAATTTGTTCCATGATATCCGATCAAAAGTTACTGAAATAAACCTTTGGAATTTTAATATTTTGTGATGTAATATTGTTACAAATTTTGCACTTATGCAAATAATTTTAATGAAATCGTTGGTAAATTGTAATATCTCTTGTCCAATGTAACATAAAAGGAATCAAGAATTGCAAAGCATCACCAGAGAAATAAGGTTACTGGGTTAAGTTCGTTTCATATTGAGGTAAATGTCTATCTTGTCAAATTGGCTAATTCTTGCCAATATATGTTTTGGTGACTAATTTTTGTCACCAGATCGCCAAAAGTTGCCAAGCTTGGCCGAAATTTCAAATGAAACATTAAAGGAAATGGAAATTTCTCAGTTTGGTTTGGATCATTAAGGCAAAGCACACTGGGGCTACCGGCCTAAGGGGGGAATGCCTTTGTGAAGGACTTTCTATGGAAAAGTGGCTCGTATAAATGTCACAAAATGGGGAAAACCACAAAAACATCATGCAGTCAACCCATTCACCTGGATTCGAAACCAGGTTGGAACTACCAGTGATTAGAGATTTTACCACTCGGCCGCTGGTGGGCCAGAAATTTATTAGCGGATAGGGGAACCTATATAAGACTGGATAGCGCACCAGTTTTCAGTTTAGCTCAGAATATTGAGAGATTCCCATGTGAACTTTCATCTTCTGATGTGCTTTGTACTGTTTTGTGTTCAATGTTCTGAATAGTTTGAAGTACTAACTACTGTGCTGTCATACTGAGAAGAGCTGTACAAGTACTTTTTAAAAATTTTATCAGCTATCATTGGTTCTGTGTGCATTCAACCTATTATGAACCTGTACACAAATAACATTTTTTGGTGTCAAGAGTGGGATTGAATGCTAGTGACAAGAGTGCTGAAGGATAAACTAAGAACCACAAACTTGGCTGCATTTACAGAGATGAAAGCAGGCCAAAAATCCATTAAAGCAGAGCTGAAAGCTGTTCAAGAAGGATGGAAGTAGGCCAAGTTATAGATTGAAGCAGATGCAGAGGAACTCAAAAGAGAAATTACTGCTCTATATATCACAACAGACTGCACCAGATATTCAAGAATATTTATGGTAGTTTACTCTCTTTTTGACAATAACTCATAATATTTCGCTATGAATAAATTTTCACAAGAAACAAACCCAAACTTTTTTCTGCCAATAAGCAAAATTCCTTTAAAATGTACAACTATTATTCTAAATTTAGTAAGGCATTTTCAGCTACTGCAATGCATATATTTTGAGATAACAACATATTTTATTGCATTTATTTAATATTTATAATATTAATACATAAAATTACCTTTACATCGCAGTCTTTCATTGGTACATTTATATCAACAGAACTTTTTTCACTACAAAAGCCATTCGATGAACTTGTAGAAGATGAAGAATCACATTTTTGATGCCCCCATTTAAACACAGAGCTGGAGAGGAAGAATAATATTAATTTATAAAATTATCTGATGTAATATTCATCCTGGAGACATTAAATTTGTAAAGTGTGAAGAAAAGAATATGTTTTCACAAATTTTAAATATATACACAGTCATGTTTATGCTTCCATTTTTAATAGTAGCATCTTAATTTTTTTATGGTTAATTCTTACCATAAATAAGTCTTTATACTATTATTTATTAACAAGCGACGTATGTTATTTCATCACTAACCACTGTATTAATATAAGATTAAATTGCATATTAATTTTACACTTTAGAAATTGCACCACTGTTCTAATACTTCAAGTCTTTAAACTGCTACATAAATCAAGTAATCATACCAAAGCTGAAGAACTGAAGTACCAAAGAAACTGTTTCACAATTTTCAAAGAAAATTTTATCAGCAGTGAAATAATATAAGAATTTAGTGTGTGAGGTGTGGAAAGTATGTTAACTTCTAGTCAATGCCAAGGATTAGACAAGTGTCATTGTTTACAAAAGTGCTTAATACAATAAATTATTAGATAAATTCTCCTCTACACCAAACACTTCTAGATAACAAGAAAATAAATTCGTAGCAATGAGTAAGTTTTTGGGATCACAGTAATATAATTTGAATTTGCAAATTCCACTTACAATTTTCATTCAAAATAATTTTATTATAGTCGAAAAACTGATAAGTTTAACTGTGGACTTGGAATAATGTGCAAATAATGAGCTGAATTTTAGTAAAAAACACTGTACAAAACTACAGTGTTTTACTACTTTAAACATAGCTGTTCATTTACCTACTGTTGAGTGACCATAAAATTGTAACGCAAAAAGTTTTCAATGAATCTAACTTACTGCAGAGAATTAAATAGCACTTTTTTTGTCACTTTAACCTGGCATTACCAGTACGACATAAAAGAATGGAGTTACTTGTGCAGGGTATTTCATAACCCAAGGATGTTTCATTATATTTTCTACCATAAAATCTATACATAAAAGGTTAAAAAAAATTAAAAAGAAGACTACAGTTATAAAACTAGTTAATCATGCTACTTACATTTATATTGCATATTTTCTACAAATACATGCCATTTGTTCCATATATACGTTTGTCACAACTTTCACAAATAAATTTAGTTTTTCTGTCTTTTCTATTACGGCATTCAGCGCATCTTTTAGATATTACTTTGGCCTTCTTTTTGGGTGTAATGTCTCCAATGGATCCTAGTTTTTCTTTTAAGTTTCATGGAAGCATGGCGTGCTGGCTTCTATTTTTCTTGTATTCTTCTGCAAGTTGAAATTCATTTTCAAAATGATCATATGATCATTCAAAATGGATATATTTCAAAAATGATCACCTAATTTGATGTTTGGTAAGTGATTTCTTAGTAAATAAGAAAATAATTTTCTCATTTATTGCTGCAGCATTCAACAGTGCAAAAAATATTGCCATGGGCCAATGATTAGATTTTCTAGCCATTGAATATATGGCAGCAATTTTGTCTACAACATCAACTGCTCCTTTAGGTAAATTGTAGAAAGTTATTATTTCAGATTTTTTTTATTCTTATGTAGATGAGTCTATTTCATCATCATTATGCATAGCTGAAAGTAGAACATTCTAATTTTTTTTGGGCGTATGTGAGACAATTACCGTCTTTTTGGAAACCAAACATGAAGGAGTAAATATCCCTCTCTTTGAATTGAACATTAGAGGACTCTCTCTTTTATTTTGTTATTATGGTTCCAAATTTATTTTGTTATTATGGTTTATAATATTCATCTGAAGCTACGATATCCAATAAATTTCTCAAATATCGCATTTCTTCATCATAACCACGATAGATAACACGCCATATCGGAAGAACAATTTGAAAGCTTGTCTGCATACTCAGAAATATAACACAAATACAGGGTGTAATATATCCGCGCTGCGATATCCAAAGAACTATTTTCTGATTTTGGTTCCAGCTTTCCTCTCCTTCAAGGTTATGACCCTAGAGTCAGCTATATGAAGATTCATCCATTTCCCCAAAAATGATAGGAAGGAACATTAAAAAATCCAGGGAGGTGTATATCCCATACCCTGTGCGAGTAATGCCAGGTTAATTTACAATGGCAAAATCATGTCATGCAAATAACAATGTACAACTGCTTTCAGCGATGTTTGTTGTTAAATCCTGATTTTTATTGCTATCTCTTAATAAAAGCTCAAAATGCAAATATTTCATTGGATACTTCATATGTAATGATAACCTTTAGGCTATTGTAAGTATTAATTCAGAAGTCAAACAACAAAAATCAGCGTTATACCTACGAAATTTTCACAGGACTAGTTTCGATGGTTTTACCGAACCATCATCTTCAGCTGCAAAACCGCAAATGAACAAGATAGGAAATAATCATTATTTCCTGTGAAAATTTTGAAGGTATAACGCTGATTTTTGTTGTTTGACTTCTGAATTAGTATTTATTCGGTGTGTTATTGTGTCTTAATTATTGTAAGTATATTTGGTACTTATATTGCATTATATATTATGGTACTTATATACTCATGCATGTCATTGACTGTGAAAGTTGGCCATTATCAAACCAGTGACAGAGATCCCACTAGTGTTGCACCAACTGTTCTTGCAGTATTCTGAATGGTACTGAATGCCTCTTTATTTAATAAACAACCAGTTTCAACACAAACTGTAAAAAAGGTTTTTACTGATTTCTATTATTTTGTGAGGTATTCTGATTTTACCAGAAGCTCTGCTCAGGATGCTATCAGTATAAAGTTCAAACAGGTAACTGCTCCAATCTATTGCTGTTTTGTCAGACACATTGAGTTGATAATATTGTGTCCACTAAAATACTTTTTTTTTTTTTTTATGGAAGGTCCTAAAACTTTGAAAACATTCCACTGCTTACTGTTCAGTAAAAGACAGTTCATAAATTTTAATGTTATTTTTCTTTAAACGCTAGTAAAGAAATACAGCAGTAACAGTTAATTTCTATCCTTGTTCATAAAAACAAAAGGTGGCTTATCAAAAATCAATTGGTATTACATCAAACAAAACAGCAGATATTATGAGTATGTTGTTAAGTCCTGCTAATGCATAGGTGGCACTAATTGCACTACTTGGTGACAGTTTCATGGTCAACAGGATAAAACATAAATATCAATATTGGTTTGAAGACTTGGTCAAACTTTTACTGCAACCTTCGCAATTTAAACAAAGACGTTTTGAAAAGACACAGCTAAGTAGAAACTTCTTATTGCAAAATAAATAAATAAATAAAATTATTCTCAACAAATTATTTTTAAATGAGCATTGCTGTAAAGCTTCATATTTTATCATAAAAATTATGTCCTATTAGTGGCTTAGGCAAAAATACGGCTATGGATTTACATATAAAATACATAAAAGACCATGCAGTTTTATATGGATATGCAAAGAACTTGTATACGCAAAATTACAGATACAGCTTTGCACATAAAATACATAAAAGACTACTTGATTTTATATGGATATGTAAAAAACTTGTATATGAAAACACAATGTGAAATAAGACTGAGCATGCATTCTTTGAGAGTAAACACCAAAGCCTTACCTTTTAACAGTACCTACGATGTGTCTTTTATTAGAAAAATTAGTATTTTCGGGAGGCTCAATTAAACACGACAACTCATAGCTATAAGAAAAGGAAACTGAATATGAATATTAATGCAATAACAATATTTATAAATATTAAAGAAATTAAATCTCAATATAATGATACTACATATAAACACTAACACAGATATGACAAGTTAGAGTAGAAAACGACAAAAAATTTTGCTTTAAAAAGCATAGTTTTTCAAAACTTTAAATCATTTATTATTTGCAAACTCTTCAAAATGCTGTAACTTTCAGGAGTTTTAACCCAGAAGTTACATTTAAATGATTGCACTTATTTTAATAAAATGCTTATTATGCAAGGCAAGAAAATAGCCTATAAAAATTAACACACAATGCATAAAATGGAAATATTTCAACATATGTGTTGATAATTTAATACACTGAACAATACATGAAAATAATATACCTCTTTTTTTCATCAAATACTTGAACTGAATTGAACCACATCTGGAATTCAGGATCTACTTTTATGTCATAATTATTAGCTGAACTTTGCAAAAGCTTTATTTGAGCTAAAATTTCAAATTCCTTCCTTCTTTTATCAAAGTTTATTAAGCCATTAGGTAGATAATCAGGAATAGCAGCATCAATCATAGTCAAATCAGTCAGAAATGTTCCTAAGTATGGAATTGTACCTTGCATTGTGCAAGCCTGAAAATATACATATAATCACATAAATTAAATTTGCAATTGAAGTAAATACCAGTGTGTTCTGAAAATTTACATTCTCTGACTCTTAATAATGCTGCTCCAGATATTATAATTTTTTGCATTTTTATATACATTACATACAAAAATATAGAGCATAAGACAAGACAATGCACTTATACATAATACATACAAATAAACTGCATCAAAAATCTTTCATTCAGTTTACTGTCATACACAAACAGACCACTAAATTTCATGATTATCATACTTTTCCCCAACAATATCAAACATCTTTACAAAACTTTTTCCAAAATATATTATTATGTGCACATAGGTTCATTTACATTACAGATTACAATTACAGATTGGATGCACATCGAACTGATGATAGCTTGATGAAATTTATTTTTCCAAAAACACTTCACAGTTATGGAACTTTTCATACAAAAATATCCATACAGTTCTTCTCAGTATGACAAAGCACAATCACTTCTTCAAACTACTAAGAATGTTTAACACTAATCAATGCAAATCACATCTAAAATCAAAGTTCGCACAGTGATCTCGCAATACCCTGAGCTAAACTCAACACAGATGCTATCTCTTATATATGTAGATTTCTCCAACACCTAAGAAATTTCCGGTATCTTCGATTTCTCAAAACTGCTGAAAGGCATACCCAGTGTACATAGGAACTGGACCATATTACACAAGGATTGGACCAAAATGTTGTCAAATAATCGCAAAGCATGGTGACAAGAGTTAGTCGCCAAAACCATTGGCAGCTTGGTGCTATCTTGCCAGATTATTTATATGTATACAAAATTTGTAACATTGCCTTACTCCCAAGGACAGCATGTCCCAAGAAGTACAATCCCTCGACAGGATAAAATACTTAACAGGTAAAGAAAATCAATAACACCAAATGCAATACCAAAATACAACTAATAAAATACTAAATCAATAAATAAATGCATGCATCTGCAAAATTTATACTCAGACAGGATCATAGTCATAGTAAGTAATACTACTTACATTATATACACTATGAGGACTATGTTCTGTGGGCATAGCAAGAGGCTAGACTGTCATAACGTAAAACTTTAGGTTTCTAGTTTGATGACTTATGATATGTGGCTCTTGTGTGGTATCAGATTTTCATCTTTTCTGTCGCCAAGTTGATTCGAATCTCGTGCAAAATTGCACATCATTTCAAATCATGCCTAGAGATTTGGAACATACTGCTCAAATGATGAAAGTTGTATCTGGATGTGACCAAACAGCAGATCACTAAGCAGACACAGGTCATGGACCTGGGAAAGAGAGTAGTCAGTCTTGCATAAAGTACTGCAATAGGCCAGTAAGAACAGAGGTAACTTCTGGACCTAGTCCTGTTCGTTTCTGGAAACCATCAGCAAAAGGTTATTCTGAATGGTTTGATTAAACCACTCTGCCACCTGATTGTGGATGCAAAGGTGTCATTCGGTTTTTGTCTATGCCAAGTAGTTTACAGAGTTCTTTAATTACAGCCAAGATAAAATCCTTGATTGGAATCTTCCAAACTTGACAAGCCAATGCTGTATTATTACCTCTGCTAGCACGACAGCCTCTTGATCACACATAGCTTACGCTTCAGGCCACTTTGTAAAGTAATCAATGACAATGAGGATATATTTATTGCCATCAGCAGATTGTGGCAGAGGTCTCAGGATTTCGAACGGGATGTGTTCAAAAGGTGCTCCTACACTGTAATACTGCAGCTTCCTTCAGCTGTGTTCCTTTGCTCTTTTCCAGCTTATGCAGGCATCACAAGACTGGCACCATTACGGCATGTCAGCCTTTCCACCAGCAGAAATGTTCTTGAACTCACTATAAAACCTTCATTATTCTGAAGTGGCCTCCTATCGGACCGCCATGTAGTCCTTTAAGGACTATATATATTTTATATATCCTACTAATATTATTTTTTCAAAAGATAATCAAAGATGGAGCATTTTCAATAGAGGTTGCTTCAAATACACGTGAAAGCATCTTTCTCAACTAAAAAGATTTAAATGTTAAAATAACCCCTTGATCTATGAGTTGAAGCATGGTGGTAGTATTTGGGTAAAAAATGAATTCTGACATTATTACAAAGATTAGAAAGTCCAACAGGATAACCTGGCATATTATGTAATAACAGTAATGCTTTAAAGGCTATGTTTTTCCCCTCAGTAACTGTTAATGAAGGGACAAAAATAATTTTAAAATCAAATTTTAGACTCTGCTTTAGTAACCCAATCTTTCCTATTAGAACACCAAAACACAGGTAATCTGTTTTCAGCACATCCATTTAAAGTGCAAAGGTTTTTTGAACAATACACAAGCATGGGCTTCAATTTGACACCACCAGATGAATTTCCTCCTAACAACAAGGTAATTCGATCATTTGATGCTTTATAGGCTGGGTGAGATTGCTCTTTTTCTGACAAACAAGACCTAGACGGCAGCTTCTTCCAGTACAACTCAGATTCATCCATGTTAAAAATTTGTTCAAGGTAGCCTTCTTCAAAAATTTGTTTTATTTCTCCAGGGAATTTTGATGCTACTTCTTTATCTGCCCTCGTACTTTCCCCCAAAATGCGAACATTATGAATCTCTGCATGTCTTTTAAAGTGAAATCCAACCTTTCTTATTAGAATGTCAAAACGCAGATTATGAGTTTTTAGCATATCCCTTTAAAGTGCAAAAGTTTTCAGCTCAATACACAAGCATGGGCTTCAATTTAACATCATCAGATGCATTTCCTTGCAACAATTAGACAGATAATCTGATCCCTTGATGACTGAGTGAGATTTGTCAACTTTAAAAATTCAGTCATTCTTCCTCAATAGTTTGTTTTATTTATTCTGGGAATTTGGACGCTGTTCCTTTATCTGAACTTGAGCTTTCCCCTATGATGATAACATTGTGTATTTTAAAAATAAAAGAACCACCCACAGCTTGCTTAAAAATTTTCATCAGTTTTGTTTTCAGACAGTTTTTCTTTAAGTGTAGAAAAAAAGACTTTATGCTTTTGCTAGACTTTTTAGTCAAGCAAAAGGCTTAAGGGAATTCTTTTTTCATCACAGTCCTCAACCTAAAGTGAAAGAAGTCTTTCCATATTTAACATTAAAGGACTTCTTTGTGTTACAAATTTCTTGAAAGCAAAATAGTTGGTAGCCATTCCATAAGTCTTATATTTCTCTTTATCTTTCACAATCTTTTCAACAGAAGAATCATTTATTTTTAATCTCTTAAAACCTTGGCATATGATGTACTCTACTCATGAATTTTAATAATTCTTAGCTTTTTTTGTAAATTCAACAATTTATGATTGTTTGGTACTCAACTGGTATCAGATTCTCCTTTCTCATTCATTTTAAATGGATATACCATTGAATTATATATAAAAATAAATTTAAAAAAAAGAGCAAATCAGATGGCGTGAATCAGATGGTGAAAATGAAAAATGATCATGTGACATGGCTATTATAGAGACCGATGGCAAATTTGCACTGTGAGTCTGCCACGCCTCTCAGTGAACGCGCATGACCAATCAGCACTGTTCATTTTGGCAGTACATATTTTAGCAGGAACATTTAGGCTGTATTGTTCTGGTACGATGTCTTTTCGAACTGTGCAATAGTGAATCAATCAGTACTAAGTGATGCATGCCACACTAAGTTTTTCTTGTAGACTGAGTTTTTCTCGTAGACTAAAACTGAAAATGCAATATATTGAAATATGTCTACACTGTAATGTCATCACGCACCAAATCCTCACACTACATGCATATACAACCAAAGCAAATTATTGTGAAAACAGTTTGATATACATATAATAACAACACACAAATTTACAGCACTACCTCTTACAAGTTGGTCATAACAATACAGTAAAGTTGCTCAAGATTTTATGGGCATCCTGTACTTTATATTTCAGAGGTTTTATAAGCGTAAAGTACATCACTCTTCTCGAAAACAAATTATGCACCAAACATTTAAAGAATATATGTACATGCATCCAAACAATGACTTCTGAAATCAAAATCTGAAATAGTAATTCAAAATTAGTACCTTCATAAGACTCATTTTTAATTATAGCCATATTGGTTTGTCTATAAAAACAATGCTTGTTCCCCCTCTACAAGTCTGAAATCCATACTCATGTTACACATGCAGCGTACATTTAAGAAATACATTTTAATTATTAATTCAATTGCACTTACATACTTCATTACTTTAAAAAAAAAAAAAAAAAACAGTTTTGACGCAAAGTTTTGCATAAAGATTAGCAGAGATTTAACAGCACTTAATTTTTTTTTTTTTTTTTTCTGCAGAATACTTTCCAACACATAAAGTTCACATGCATCAGGATATCTTATGTATGAAACCTTTTTCTTGCATAACACATTCAGTAACACCAGGCTACCTTACATTTTGGCCAATGTTGCAATTCAATTAACACTTTTGCACTACTAATCAGTAATAATTCAACTCACTTTTGCAGTGATAAAAAAATTTTAAAGTTTTTTCATCAGGTATTAAAGAAAATAACAACTTACATATTCTTGAGCTAGTTTGTCAAAACTTTTATGAAACTGCTTGCTGTTTGAATAAATTGCATCCACAAATTTGGCAGATCCTTCCTAAGGAAAGATGGAAAATATACAAAATATGAGTGAAAGATTAAAATATTTCACTTCTGTTTTGAGCTTTTGCTCTCATAGCAAAATTTCAAAGATAAGAAATTTTAACTAGTTGACATCTTTACTAATTAAGAACTTTTTAAAAATAAATATGAAAAGGTGGGAATATCCCCCAAAATATGAAGAACAAGAATTTTAATTATCCACTTCGTAAGCAAATATTTAAATTACTAAAAAAAAATGCTGTTAAAATGCTTACATTAATCATATATTGAAATATTAAAAGAAAATAGCTGACAGTATTATAAGTATTATACATGGTTTCATTCCCCATTTTGATAAAGTTCTCTTATGCATAAATGCCTGCCTCTAACACAACTTATGTTCCCATCTATCCATTGAGATATATACCCATGAAATAAGTACTAGTGTCTGAGATTTTGTTTTCACCATCTAGGAAGATTGGGCCCATAGTTTAGCAGTTATGTAATAGTATTCAATGAAATAAAAATAAGCAACATTTATTGGAAAATATGCCAAGAAGAGACAATAAACGGCAGAAGAAACAACACTATAGAGCAGTAATCGTAAAATGGCAACTACAAATTCATACATTGTAAAGTGCATTGAAAACTATTTATTTAATATGTGTATAATATAATTATTATTTATTTCAATATGATCGAGACTTCAAAATCTTTTCAGTGCAGCACTACTTAAATCTGCTGGCATGATCCTTGATAGAGATGAAATTCTTGATTCTTATGTGAGGCATTTTAGAAGAATAGAAGACAACTTTCTTTTAATGGATAATTATGCTCATTGGCCTCCAAGATCTACCGATGTCAGAATACCTTAAAAAAGAGAGGGGTATGGTGTGGCTTGAATATTTGCCGAATTTAAATCTGCCTGAATATGTGTGGGACACACAAAAATTTTGACTTTCATCACTGTAATAGCCACTCCCCTGACACTCTTCAGCAGCTTTGGAATGTGATTCTGAACCAATCTGGAGTGTGCTCTGGGGAGGTCAGATCAAATGCATGAAAATCTGATGTGAAGCCAGTCAGTCAAGAATGCCCATGTATCCTATAACAACTATCTCCAACAAAAATAAAAAATCTCTTTGTTTAACAAATTTATTCTAAAAAATCAGGTACCAAATAAGGGGGGAAAAAAATTAAATTTTTTTTATAATCAAAATAAAAAAGTCTTCGGTTCGTACACATTTCCTTATATGAAAATTAAGGACTTTTAAGGACCATCAAAGAAAAAATTAAGGACCTATCAGGCAAACAAAAAAATGAATAGAATAAAGCAATTATCCATACAACCGACTTCATGCTTGTAATTTCACTTTAAAAAACTAACAGAAGTGTGTATTATGCACTATTATTAAATTCAATTCAACTTAATACTTACCATAAAACAATTTTGAAAATTAAACTAACTCCCTACAAGTTATGAAGTAGATAACATTAAATGAGGAACATAATTTCTTGAAAAACATGTATAAGTGTATTTTACACTAATAACAGTCACTATTTTAGAGATTTACATGATTATTATTTAACTTATTTGATATTTATTTAAACATAGTCAACTACTATTATAATCACAATGTAAGAATATTTTGCAGATTAAAATAACTGATTTGTAAACATACAATTTATTTCCTTGGTTTTTTGAAAGATACTAGAATAATAAACTGTACAATAAAAGATACAAAACATTTGTGCTTTTGCTTTTTTTTTTTAAATCTGAAATCTTCCTTTTCTTTAACTATTCTTCTAAGTTCATTTGCTTTGATAAACAAATCAATGTTCCTGATGGTCTCAGCTTTATCTGCTAAAGCATCTACTTCTTCATTAATGTCTTTAATGTCCCTTTGAGGAAAGTTTTTCTTCTGCTTCATATAATCAATTTCTTCTTCAATAATATTTCTTTTCCTCTTTGAATTTTCAGATTTAGTTAAAGATTTTTGTTCTTCTAAATACTGAACTTCTAAATAACGAACTCCACTTCTTGCAGAAGCTGCTGCTGATCTCATTTCTTTATTAATTTCGATATTAAGAACACCTCCAGAAAATTTTATGTAATCAAATACTGTGCGTTGAAAAATGTATGATGAGTCACTTAAATTTTCAAATTTCAATTGCTTTATTTACAGAGAAGCCCCTTTCCACAGAGGCCTGTTCATGTGACAAGATAAGAATACTTGTCACAGTGAATACTTGAATAGTGAAAATATACATTTTTTACTATATATATATAATTTATTTCCTAAACAATATAGATTAATTGATTATATTATCTCCTAAGTTTAATTAAAGTAGAATTATTTTAAAAGAGTGAATCCATACTGGTAAGTTATATTTTGAAAGATGTATATATATATATAAAGTCCGAGATCCGGACATCAATATCTGGAATGATCTAAAATCCGGACCTCAAAGCCACCACCAACCAATTCCGGCATTAATATTGGAATGATCTAAAATTGGACCCAAGCCAATTCATTAGATTTTTTCATCAAAAAAAAAAAAATGCCAGAAATCCGATTCTTAATCTTAGTTTGGTGCTAAATAAAATATCTCATTATTGAAGAAATAATTATTTTAGCATAAATTTGTGTGATTAGTAACTTGACTCCATAGCTGCGTATCTGCTTGGCATAATCTCAAACCGAAACATTTGTTAATTTTACACCAACTAATATTTTATATCCTTGATGCCGAAATCGCGAATCATTATTTATTGTATTTTGCTTTCATCACCGCATGTTTATCAACGATGATGACAACTTGAGTGATGAATCATGCAGCGATGCCAAATAACAGAGTATTATACGATTACAGATTTAAAGTTTAATGCGCTAAAATGTTGACAAGGGGAGATTTAGCAGAAATTTCTTTCCTTATGCTAAAAATAGATTTTGTTAATGATACTCATAGGACAAACGATTATATTTAGTGCTATTTGAATTAAGAATAACTGATTTGTTATTCACATAAAGCCAGAACCAGCTCCAGAGCTCGCATGGCCGCACCAGGCGGCAGAATTTAGCGAAGTTAAACAGAAGTTTTTCATTGCAATGACAATGCCCAATCATCAATCAATTAACGGAGGGCGGAATCTGTAGTATGGTTCTAAATCCAGAAAATACAGCTACCGATAGTGAAGAAAGTAACAGAGAGGTTACTGAACGAGAAAAAATTTTGATTGACAAGTTATTCGGAATTCTCGACACAGCAATTACAGGACTTGAACAATGGAACTTAATAACTGAACAAGAAATTATATGTCTATAGTATTAGTCTAAAGTATTAGCAGAGAAAACAAATCAAACAACTCACATTGAAAGAAATGTTTAATAAAGTAAACATATAAATATTAAGCTCTTTTCTTTTGGTAAATTTTGATACCCTTTAAATCATAAATGCTTCATTATTTCATAAATCACGATTTCATATTTTCAATTTTATAATTTCTACGTGCCATCTTAGTAGATTTAAAATGATCTAATATCCGGAAAAATCTCAAATCTAGGATCGCCGAAGTCCCGACGAGTCCAGACCTCGGACTTTGTACTGTATATATAATATATATATATATATATATATATATATATATATATAATACGGAATGTATATTTTCAGTTAAACTTCTACCCAATAACTTTAGTAATTCATGAAAGTTAATTTTGCGTCTAGTTAATTCAGGAAAATTAGTTTCAATTAGTTGTTTTCAGCTTTAAAAATATTTAAAAAATTTTTTTAATTAGTTATTTTCAACTAATAATTGTATCGCCATTAGCAAAAATTATGCATTACTATCAAAACATAGGTTTTAAACCAAATACTTAATTGTCTATTGAAGCTTCAAAACGTATTTCCGAACTTCACTTTTTCTCAGCTAGCGTTACCGATTTTGCCCTTGGCGACCTAAAATCGAAATGGAGCCAACAGATTTCCCGCGAAATCGATAACAGACCCTCTGCAGAAATAAACTCATAATCCCGATATCCCATACATATAGTATGTGCAAAAGAGAATAAACTCCGTAGAAGGTGATAAAAAATTAATTTATGGCTTAATTGAAACAAACACAGAAATTAAGCTAAGCAAAACCGTGTAAAAACAAATTGAAATGATAAAACGAAACTTAATTTTCATGTGAATTTTCAGTGCTGACTCTCCCATTCTAGAAATTTCAATTTGTTTCAGACAAAGACCACATTTAAGGATTGCCATCCATCAATATCCAGTCTTTGTAGTCAGCTTGATGAAGCCACAGTTTATTGAAAATGCACTTTCCAGGCATCTCGTTCCTATTGGCGTCGGAAGGGTTGTGGCCTTCCAGGTTGGAATTGCTCTAATTTTGGCAAATATTTTCAGAATCTCCCCCCCCCTTTTTTTTTCTCGAGCACCTTCATCATCACTTTCGCCTCTTAAAGAACTTCCAGCTTCACGCTTTCGTCACAATCTGCCTAAATTTATGGATAACACCTGTTTCGAAAGATTGGCGTGAATAGCCAATCAGACACCGATACTTTCGTTCGGGTAGCTAATTGTTTTTTTTTTAATCGTTTGCAATGCAAATCCGCCAACAGATTGGTTAAGAGCCGTGTAATTTTAATTCCATATTCATGAGAAATCGTAATTCACACTTAGAATGGCAATCATTAGAAATGATAAGAAATGTCAAATGAGCAAAATTAAGGACCGTTTATTCCATTTTGGCCAAAATTAAGGACTTTTAAGGACCAAAAATCATTTTTGAAAATTAAGGACTTTTAAAAAAAAAAACAAAAATTAAAAAAAAAAAGGGCCGGTTCTTCTTTTAAACTTTTCAGAGAGCTTACTAAAGCTATGTTCAATAACTGTGGGAAGTAGACAGGATACACAAGAAGGGTATACAAAACCCTTTATTTTTTTCTCTATTACAATAACTTCCGTACTTCGGAATACAAGACCCTCCACTTGTGGTCTAAACGTAAA